TTTTGGCATTGCTGCCGTGTGGCATTTTTTCGCAACTTGTCATGGAAAAGGCCCTATGGGAGGAGTATTGAAACGAAACGCTTTAAAATTTGAGTATACGAAGGGAAAGGTAGGATCTGCAATGTTTAAAACTTGGTCTACGTGGTTTATGGACGGCCCGCAGGTTGAACTGAATGTTGCACCCAGCTTGTAAGTTACTCATAGATTTCATTGGTCACAGCTGCTGTGACTCGATGGAGACGCATTGTGAACTACCTTGCGTCTTCATCGTTTCCATGCACGTGTGGTGCATATATAGCGGAACAATAATTTTTTATTTAAAAAAAATTGTATCTCCAAAACTGCTTCTCCGACATCGCTAATTTTTTGAAATGTTATGTAAAATTAAATGATCTTTCAATTAAAAATACTAAAACAAGAAGTTGTTGAAGACCCTCGCAGTGAAAATCAAGAAAAAGTATTTGTAACATATTTTTTTCCTATAAAATCAAATATCTCTGAGTGTTTCATAATTTTTCTTAAAACAACATTAAAACATATTTCATTTGAAGGGTCAATCGTAAAAATCGGTCAAGAGATTCAGAAGTTATAAATTTTTGAAAAAAGACATTTATGAAAAAAAAATGATTTTTTGGACCACCCTAACACGGAAATGGTCACCCTAATGGCGCAATAAAAAAATACGAGTCTAATATTTTTTGATAAGGAAGAACTACACCAATTTTCATGAAATTCTGAGACCCACTATAACTTTTTTCTATGGAATTGCTGATAAACGACACATTAGATTCATTATTGCACAACACTGGTTCAGTCTAACAACAAGACGAAATCAGTATAGTAGTGGTTACCGTTTCCGCTTTCCAAATAGAAGGTCGTGAGTTCAATCCCAAGTTTAACCTTTTTTAAATTTGTGTTCTACGCCTAATTAATTTAAATTGCAATCATCGATCACATGACTCACGACAATGAATGCATTGATCTAGTTTAAATAATAACCGAGCATCCTTTCCTTGGAATTGGAGAGGTGTAGAGGTAACATTGGTCTCATGTAAAACAACGATGAATGAATTAATCATTCCCAAAGGGCCTTTAAGGAGCTAGAGTTGCGATAGGGAGTGCTTTCAAGCAAGCTTTTATTGATTATTAAGCTGCCCTTATGATGAATTCTAGTATAGCTCAGATGACAAGGCAAGCGGCTGGTGATCGGAAGGTCCATGGTTCGAATCCCATGCAACGACATGTATGTAGTTCATTTTCAAATATCTGTGTGGTACGTGCCACGACAGAAATAATGAAAACAATCACTACTAAAGAATACCTTATCTAACACCACCCATCCCTGTCCCTTCGTCGTCTATCTTTATTTTCGGGTTAATTTTCCACAGTTGAATAATCGTTTAATAAATGTATAATAATGTCTAATTAAACGTTACTTCACATGATAATCAAGCGTATACAGAGAGAGCATCACTGTTTTAATTACGATGTCTAACTAATAAACGCTGAGTAATCAAAATTGTTATCGAATAAGCTCTGTTACAACTCATATAAGTCGAATTAACCAGCTTCTCGACATACCTTATACAACACCAATAGTTCAATGTGCTGTGGTTGAATAAATTCTCCAAATTAGTGTGAACATAGCCTGAACAGAAGTTATTATTAAATATAATGCAAGTATTACTAAGCATGCAGTTGAATAAAATCGTCAAGAAGTCGTATCTTCAATAGACGATTGTTTGTTGGGTGGTCCACGTTTGACAGAAAAGTGTTTCATTTTCGCCCCGTATTGTCTCCTCTTCCTCTTAGGTTTTCCCTTCTGAGCAGCCAGTAGGCTGCACTTGCTACAACTGTCAGTAGACTGTTGGCTGTCCTCACTGTTCAACTTGATCAAGTTCTCTAATTGTACTCAATCTGCCATTGTATGAAGGGCATCCACGAAATTGAGAATCAAGGACAAGAAGCAAGCCATCCAACATGAGGATGCCCCAATGAGTGGGGAGATAAGCCCGCCCTCTATTGACGAAATGTTAAAGACAGGGAGTTGGCATTTCCACTCTCCCCATCTATTCTGCTTCAATCGGGTGCCCTGGTGGATCCTCCTGTATCCAGCATTTAATGTTTCATATCATAATGGAATGAAAGTTAAGAAAAAAATAAAGGAAAGATCTCACCAGAGGAATCTATGACATTACGATGATTTCAAAGAGCTCCCATACATATGCTACGGCTACTTCTTAAACCAGCGTTAAAAACAGCACTCTCGCCTTTCTTTCCTCACACAGAAGCGGACATTTCCAACAAACAAGAAACACTTTTTAGTTGTTCTGATTAGAGGGATCGCAGCAGAAAAAAAGGACTGCGTGACATAATAGCTTCAGTTCACTAGTACACAATGTGGAAGGCGCAGCATAAGCCCCTCACCGGCTGAATCAACTCGCGACCAACGTCGGAATTACAAGCGATAATTCCAGCGACCGAAAACAAACGCGTCTAATCGCGGCCACAGCACACTTCGATTCTTGTCGATTTTGTACTTCAAACTAAAATTAATAAACTTTCCTAAATCTTAACCTTGTCCGTTACAGGCCCGGAAGGATTGATGGATAGAAGCTGTTTATTCCAACGGATGCAGTTTCAGTAGTAGGTTTTTTTTCTTCATATAAATGTTTTTTTTTCTACCTGTACTTTTTAATTATAGTAATTGTTTCGGCCAGGACGCGGCCCTATGTTGTGTTGTGATGAATAATAGTGAAAATTGACAGACAAGTACACACTTAAAAAATTAATGTAAATTTTGGTGCTCTGAGACGAACGATAATTTTGACATTAAATTTAGTCAAAACAGACGAGAAATTCAGCTCAATCAACGTAATTGTTTATTTATATCTTCATCACTGTGATTTTTAGCCGTAAGCTAACTCAATTAAACGTACTTTTCGTAGAGTAATGAACTTTTCAATCTCGGAGCTCGGGTGTTTACGTCTCATCCATTACGTTAAAGATGGATTGCGTCACGTGTAAAATTAATGAGTAGTTTTAAATACACACAGTTCGAAAAAGTAGTGTAAGTTTCTGTTCAATATGATGCACTTTAATGGATCTTCACATATCGTTTACGTTTACATTATATATCATGTAAAGTTCTGACACATGTTGCTATTGGTCCCAAGCAAATCGATTAACGTATCCCATTCTAGCCAAATTCTAGTACTACACAATGTTTGTTTTGATTCGCTATGAAAGTTAGACCGATAAAATGAGGGGTTAGTGGATTTTCCTATGTTTCGAGGGGTGAATCGATTAGCTTGGGACCGAAGATAGTACCAGAGCTGAGCCAAAAAGTTGAGCACGCTTTTTCGGGACCTACTAGTCTTAGAGTTACCTCTATGATATGACTGCACCAGCTCATAGAACAAACATTTTTCTGTCAGATGATTTAGTTAGTTTGAGTGAGTATGTTGTCATTCGTAAGAAATCGCCAATCCATGTCATTGTTTACGTTTCGAGTTAGACCCTTCTGACATGTTTTCTCTGATACGCTGAAGGAATATCGTCAGTAATAAGTGCCGGATACGTTATAACATTGGATAATGCCAGTAGAAATTTAACATCGTGACATTTCATGGAATGTTGCAAATATAGTATGCAACCGTCCATCTTTGTAAGCAACATTGCTTGCAATTTGCTGGTTTGCGTGAAATCAAAATTTAGTTCACACGCACCAATGTTCACATCATAAGTAAAATTCAGATTTTTTTGCTGTATTGATATGGCTACATCTGGATACCCGATTATGGCAGGGCCGCAAATAGGAAACTTCCAAAACCTTATGTACTGGTACCTTCCGACGGCACAACATTTATTTTTCTTCATCCAGAAGTAAATAAACATCATGTCATGGACTTAATGGCGGATCTGGCCTCATTTGGATACCCGAAACTGATTCGGCAGGGCTCCAGAAAGAATACTTCCAAAACCTCATGTCCGACGATTCAAAATTTATTATTTTAATCCAGAAAAAAATAGACTCATGCCATGGACCAACAGGTGGATCAGGCTACATCCGGATACCCAGATCCGGTTCCGCAAGGGCCCAAAAGGAAACTTCTTAAGCCTCATGTACTGGCACCGTCCGACGGACAGTAATTCTTGGCTGGCCAAAACCTCAAAAATGAAAGTTGAGATTTTTTTTTATTTCAATATTTTTATCATTTTTACATGTTACGAGTATCTTAAATTGAATAATTGTTTATTTGCCCACAATCCTTTAGAAACCAAAAGATAGCTTAAAAATAGGCTTTAATTCTCTGACTCTGCTTTACTTGCCATCCGAAGGAAGGCGTGATCAGAGATTTTATGCCTCAGAAAATCTAGACCCAGGCCTTTTGGGGCGAGAGGCAATCACGTTTACCACTACACCACCGGCGCCGCTGTTGGTGCTTCTTGCTCAACCAAAATTATCAATTATCGGGGACCGGGAGGACACCCAATTGAAGCGATTTGGGGAGAGTGGGATTTCCAACTCCCTGTGGCTAGCATTTCTCCTTCTCCCCACGATGGCTTGATTTGATTTCTGGAAGTATGAACTAACTTCTGGAAGGAGATACTCTATCACACCCGTTTGCGTAAGTGTCTATGCTTACGGGTCCGCCCACCGCTTTTGACCCTTCACACAGGAGTATGATGAGTGCCACCAGAAAACAAATCATGATCAAGTCATGTGGTAAGCATAGTCCATAGCTATCTGCAGGCGCCTTGTTACGATAGGTGGTAGTCTATCATCATTATCATCATCATCATTATTGCACTGTTTTTAAAATTAGTAGTTATCTGTCATCAGTCATTGACGATATCACGTGCAACTTCCATCAAACACTAGACAGACAGCTAGTTCTTATATCAAATCTGTTTTCTAAAAAAAAAAAAAAAAATTACAATCGTTAAACGCCGAAGCGAAAAGCAGAAGTGATATTAAATTAATCTTTCACTTTCAGACCGTAACCATATTCGCGTCGAGTTGCATCCTTTTCGCCGGTATGCTAGCAAACCTATAGACGTCTTCGTCGTCGTCATCGCCGTTGCTTCCGTGCGGAGTAGTGCGGATTCGTTTGCCATTCCGTAGTTAGTAGCGCAGTTTCCTTCCTTCCGCTCCGTTCCGTCATCCTCTTTCGAGACCGGTTTGATATCTTTTATGCTTTCCAGAAATTTTCAGTTCAGTGCCGTTTTTCTTTGGAACGAGTTGAATTTGCTCTCGATGAGAATGAGATCCACTCCGTTCGTTCTTACACCAGGACCAAAGTGTAATCAGTTTTCTGTCGGGTGCAGGATCTCGTTCGTTCTATAATTTACATGAATAACAGATTCGGAAGCCTTGAATAATGCAAGCAAGGTAAGAGCATATGTTATGATGGAAGGTTTAAATTTTGCCCGGTGATGCATGGGGCGTTAAAGGTGGGTGTGTTCGCGAATTTGAATGGTGATTGAATTTGGCCCTTGTGTGCTCGTAAGAAGTGCTATGAAGTGCATTTAGGTTCACTTGGTATGCTAAACGTTCGATATTATTGGAGTAAATTGCATTTTATGATTTGTTCTTAACTACAAAGACTACCAAGCGTCTCCATGATAGTGAAATATTTAGGGCGGACATTTTTGAAAACCGTTGATGTTACAGCTGGAATCGTGAACCTTTTCAAATTTATTCTAATTTCCATTTAACCATTCCAAACACACATTGCTTGATTACAACATCCGTTTAAACGGTGAAACGTGCTCGAGTAGCAATTGAGGCATTTAAAAAAGGCAAAACTTTCACCGGCTGCCCATCAACCTTTGCCACCACGGATATTGATCCGTGCAAAAAACCGGGTGTTGGAAATGACGAACATTAAAAGCATCATCACCATAAGGACCGTTCGAAAACGCTTGAATGAGGGTCACGCAAAGCCAAGGGTCCGAAATACGATCCTATGTGACAGAAGAGTTTGTTTTTCTGGTTGTGGAGGGTTCATTTGTTCGTATTTGATAATTAATTTTTTTCTACTTCAGAAAAAGTCATTGGGCGATGGTATGTATCGGTCAAAGAAATCCGTTGAGGTAGTTTGAAAACTGGATGGATGCTGATTAGTCATTGACGGGTTTTTTATCTTTACTCAACCATTTAGCATTAGATGTGTTTTTAGCTGATGACAACATCAGTTCATTACTTTTTGACGAATACAAGTATTTCGTTTCCAGGTTTTCGGTGACTTATATGATTCAACCGAAGTTCGATACTCAATTCGATATGATCGCAACCATCCACACTGACTTAGTAATTGAAAGCACTCAATTCGTTCTCATTCAACTGTAGCGTAAAAGCAAATTCCACCCAATCAAATTTGGCCATCGTCAACTAACATCAAACATTTAAACTCGGCTGACCTTTATTGACAAGGCTTCGTGCTGTATCCAGCTTGAATGATGACAGTCGCTTCCCCATGACCTTTACCGCACTCTCTCTTATCGGGTCATTTCCCCTTATACATCAGTATCAGCAAACGGTTCCATCCTTTCCGGAAATGGAAGCTGTAGATTGAAAAAAGGGCCCTCCCGATAGCCGCGGGAGCTGTTGACAGACAGACACCCGGCAATGACGACGACGACGACGACGTCGAAATGGTAAATTTAATCAATCGATCAAACAAGCGAGCAACTTTTGACTGAGTGGCGCATGGTAACAGCAGAATAGAACACCATCCACATCGTTTGCCGCTCCGGAAGTTCTCGTACGTCATTTGGGAAAGATCAGATTCACGCACTTCATATAGTCTCCAATAAACCGTGGCAGAAGCATGATGATGGTGCACCAAAGTTGATCCTACTTTTTTTTCGTGGTAAACTACGCGAATGCTATAGCTTTCGGGGTATCGTGTTGATCTCAATGGAAGGGAACTTTTTCAAATCATCAGGGATAGAAGCGGGACAGGAAACTGCAATTTCACCCGTTCGCAGTTGCACTTTTAGTCTTCAACTAGATGGTAGCTATGTATACCGTATTTGGATCTGAATGGTTAGTGCTTTGTATTGTTTCCATTCATCAAGATCAGCTAGAAAAGGATTTTGTGCATCGGAAGACAATATGAACCATTGTTTGTAATCCACGAAATGTTAGTCAAACATCACAAAAAATATAAAAAAAAAAATCGCGCAAACAATTGCAATTTTATTCCACCATTTTCCTCAAGATAAACATTCATCTATCCACAGAGTTGATGAAGGATTTGCTCTTCCGGGGTGGTACGAACAGTTTCGTATGCAGGCCTCTGTATGAGGCCAATTTTTACCAAACACATATGTAGAACGCTGCTGTGCTGCTGTGCGCGTTTCGGCGACCGTCCAACCGTAAACATCCTCACAATGAATGTGCAGAACATTGTGGATCCGGGTAGCGCGAATCCGCAAAAGAGCAGTTGCATGTGTGCACACGTGCTTTGGCATTCCCCTGTAGCTGTAGTTTTCCCCTCGGCATATCAAAGAGGACGAAAAACATGGTTATCTGCATATTTAATGGACACCAGACGGTGGTACAGTGAACGACGGTTGCAAATGAAATGCATTGCATTGTTTTTGTTCTGATCGTTACGGATGCAAAAAAGGAGGTGGAAGCATATCAGGGATTGAAAGGATAAAAAATTATCGACATTTTACTGGAATGACTGGATGGTTCACTAGTATTGGTTGTGAACGGTTGTGTGCACTAAGCCCTCATTTGGTTGTCTTTTGTTAGTAAGTAAAAGAATATCAGTAAACACAGAAAAATTAAATTTTCCCCCGCCTGCATTGGTGGTGTTTGATTGCGTTGGCGAGCTATTAGTTTCGATATGTTTTGAATGTTTTGTGCAGCGTTTCTCAATCTATGGGTTGCGATCCATCTGGTGGGTCGTGGGTGGCCCTGCCCAGGTTCGCAGAAGTTGAGGTAAAATTTCTGAATAACCATTTATGTTTGGATAGGTAATTCAAATTGGTCTACTATAGTAACCTATTCAGTGATGGAAATCAAGCGAGCATGATCTGATTTCCAGTTTTTCGTAAACTGTACAGATCGTGATCTGTACAAACTACGACCAACGATTAGTCCTCTTCTACCTTGAAAATACGTTATTGCGTAGGCAACTCACAGCCAACAAATACATTGTTAGGCTGAGTCAAGCTCGGAGAAGTGAGTACCCTTTTCGCTCATTATAACCACAAATCGCAACATGTGCTTATTTCACGAGACGAGAGTAAGTGTCTCTCTGTGAGTAGCATTCTTTGGCAGTTTGGGGTTAAAGAGCAATAGCGAATTTGTTTTTTCCCAGGTTGGTACCAGTTCCAACCCAGTGCAAACCCGAACTTTTTGTCAGCGCGAAAATTGACCAGTGCCAGAACATACGATCAAACTGACGTTTGCTAGAAAACAAGCCAACCCTAATTTGATACCCAATACAGGTTGGAATGGTATAATAAACAAATTCGCTATAAGCAAGCATCAGCAGATAGGGGCTGACCCAGTGATGCCACATTTTCTCTAATTTAGATCTGTATTTTCATCGCAAAACATCATTTTAACCTATATCTGGCTGACAAAAATCTGTAAATAAATCTGTATAATTTCCATATTATGGTCTCAGTGCGGATTTACGTAAATCTCTATTGAGAAAAATCATACTTCAGAAGGAGTTTGTTTTAAGTTAAGAATAATGAAAAATGACTAAAGTTTGCTTTCTAAAAAATTTGTTTATTTAAAAAATCTTGAAATCCTACAATCTTTAAGTGTTTTGTATCTCTTATACAGTCTGAAAATACAAAACATTAAGTACCAGTTATGAGAGACAAATCTGTTTCCGGCTGAAGATTTCCTTAATGAAGTAACTATCACAATTCCCTAGAATTATTATTTTTATGTCTGAGATTACGAAAACCTTTATCTGGACATTGTAAATAACCCAGAACTCCAGTTGACTCTTCGACTCACAAACTGTAATCAACAATTTTGTTGGTTTTCTAAAATGGCTTGTTTATCGATTTGACATAACATATATTTAATTAAATTTTTGCTAATTTTAAATCATATGGTTAATTGAACAAATTTAAAATGAAACTAATATCCCTTCCAACTAGAAATCAGAACATCTGAACATCAGAAGTCCATTCGAAAGATTCCAAGTTCATTGGAAGCTAAAATAATAATATTTTTTTTAGTGAAAAACACGATTTGGGTTCGATGCTCAGATTGAATTCAAGTTGCTTACAAGGAAAAAAATGATTATTTATCGTAATTAATAAATATAAAAAATAATGTGAAACACATTCCCTTTATTTGAGAACTCTGAAAAATCTGCATATTTTTCAAAAATCTGTAATCTGTATATACAGATATCTGTATCAAATTATTGTAAAAAATCTGTATGATTACAGATAAATCTTTATATGTGGCATCACTGGGGTGACAATCGGTAGGGGAGAACAGTCCATAATGCACCCTTGGGGTGAAATGGAGCCGTGCGGGTTTTCGTTGCTTTCCCATTACTAATTCTGGAAATATCATGTACCAGAATGTTAGTTCATGCACTGAACTAGCAATGCTGATTGTTAAATTCACGAATTGACAATCGGAAAGCTATGAAAAACAGCGCAGGGTCATTTTATCCCAGGGGTGCGTTTTGAACCATCCTACCCTAACTTTTAACATGAAGGCTGAAACGGGGCGATGTGCGGTTTCTATAGGTGAGGAGGATGCAAACAAGTCGACTCTTTCGTTCTCTCGCTTTCGAATTCAGCAACAGACGTGACGTAACGCGATGAGAATGAAAGAGTCGACTAGTTTCCTTGCACCTCACCTGTAAATAGCGCACATTTGGCTCGGTAGTTCATCGGATAGTTCTGTCAACACGGTGAACTGTTCCTTTCTTTTTCACTTCACCGAAAGGACCAATGCCGTCCACGCAAATGCATGCGTCTAATTCACAGACTGAAAAAAGCAAAAAAAAATCACGATCATTATGGCAATGATCATGATCTGATCACGGTTGTTCATCAGTTGTACATAATCCGAACAACTTCTTGTACTCAGCTGTACACATTGAGATCTTTAGTTTGTAGCGT